GAAGCTTAGGGAGATTTAGCATATTTCGGTCTCTACTTACATCTGAGCATCATGTAGTGGATTCACAAGGTCCTCTACAAAACACTGCCACAAATATCTACATAACTGAATAGCGCATTGTAGTCTTGCTTTATATTTCCTCGGGCTAGCCCACAGAATCAGTGTTAGCCTTGTCAGAGGGTTGTTTTTCAATGCCCTGCTCACATCCTGCAGTAGGTAGAGGAGCCCTTACCCAGTTCTGCCAGAGATCTTCTTTCATCCAGATGCATGCAGACCACTTTAATCCCAAAGGCTCCAAAACAAGGATACCAAATGCAGAATTAGCACCTCAGAAGAAAACTGCATTACATCATGTTTTGCTTAGGCTGGCACGTCAAATAACAATACCAAGGCCAGAAAGTATTGCTTAAGAATTGAGGTTGCTTATGTCTTGAACGTCATTGCTTTAATAACTCTGTTTAATAATAGTTCTTACCAGCTACACAGCTATGTGACGTCTGTGGAAAGCTTGTTAGATGATGAGTAAAGTGCTATGGTATTTCATTTCTTAAGCTCTTAGAAAGTGCGTATTTGCTCCTTTCCCTGCCACAATAGTGGTCTGACTATTATTTTAGGCTTGGGGGGGGGTTGCTAGCCTAATGTTGAATTGCCAAGGGATGATTAGTTGGTGTCACTCCAGAAGCTGAGTTAAGATGCTGACCTAAAAGCTCACTGCATGGCAAAATTCCCATTTATTTCTCATTGTGTTGGTTTGCAATGAAATGGCTTTAAAAATGTCTAGAAGTGAAATACTGTAAATCAGACACAAAGTTAATTTAAAAAAAAGGCAACTTCAGCTCCAATTTTTTCCCGCATTGGAATTCATTCTTTGAGCTTGCACTTGACAGCAGATGTCAGTACAAATTTAGATCTCAAATTTAAATCCGTTAGGAGTTTTTGCACGCAAAAAGCTTGAAGTCGGGGGCTTTCACCCTGTGGCCATGTTAAAAAGGATGTATTCATTGTGTCTGGAGCGTACTGCACTAGCCTCTGAAGGGGCCTCTCCCTTCCTACAGAAGAACTAAGGAAGAAGAGGTACCTTGGGTACCTTAGATAGGCTTGAAAGAAGAGTTTTTCACATATTTGTGAAACTTAACCCCAAAATTCTAGTTGACCAAAGGGTTTATTATGCTTAGGCTCCCACATTATAAGTACCTTCCTGGCATCATTTGCATTGCTATATGGGTCTAAACCAGCTTTTCAAATTGGGGACAATATTTTCACTAGTGTTTCTTAAAGTAAGACGTATTCAGACTTCTAAACCTGTTTGGTTTATATGGACTGAAGAACAACACAGTCAAAGAAGCCTTGTCTCTTAAAAAGTCCCATCACAGATGACAACTTTTGACTTTCTGCATTAGTACTAACCCTGACAAAGGGACAGAGGTCTCAAAAGTACTGATTTCCAGTTAGTTTTATGAAAAAATTTGTGGAGGAAAACAGCCATATGACACGTGTTCACAAGGTGTGTTGCCCTTCCAATTAGGTGCTCAGAATGATGAAATCCCATCAGCTTCCAGTTGATGTTCAATTTATTAATTCCTCCTAGGTCCATAAGTTTTGTCCCCAGGATTTTATGTCCTACGTTTGCTTGGTGTACCAGTAGTGGGAGACTGCCTCTTCTTGATGCTTCAGTGTTCAAAATCTGGACCACAGAGTGGGAAATACACGCATTTTGTATGTGATATGGGCCACAGAGTTTGCATACAGTATTTCAGCAACCTCTTGAATGACCAACTTATTTTATACTGCTTCCAAAGATTTCTGTCATGCCAAAGGGAGTCTTTCACATCATTGCTTTTTTTCCTTTCTTCTCAGGAAGCTTATGTGATGGCTAGTGTTGACAACCCTCATGTGTGCCGCTTGTTGGGCATCTGCCTCACTTCTACTGTTCAGCTCATCACACAGCTGATGCCTTATGGCTGCCTCCTTGATTACATCCGCGAGCACAAGGACAACATTGGCTCCCAGTACCTTCTCAACTGGTGTGTTCAGATTGCAAAGGTAAGTGAATCAACACGCCGCCAGATCAACTAAAACTCAGACTCTAACAAGGAGATCTGGCACTGCGTAACGTATGTATTTACTTATTTGTCTCTGCAAGTCTTTTTATTTCACCACATGGTTCCTAGATACCTTATACGTGACAGTAAGTGGTTCCTTTGTCTTAAACAATTTACCATTTTCAAGCTGCTGTGCAAACCTTAACTTTTCTTCAGAATGCTCCTAGAGAGCGTAATATTATCACCAAGGCATTTATGTCCAAACCAAACACCCTATAATGAAACAATAATGTGATGCAATGAAGCTGTGGCAGGGAAGAAGGGAGTAGAATTTGGCAATTGTCATACCAAGATGCTGCTCCCATCAGTGGATTTCTTTGGGCTGTGCCATGGGGCAAACAGTGATGTTGTTGAATATACCTTCTTGTGTGCCTCAGAGAATTTCAGGCTAAAATCTCTGAGGCCTGGAGATCAGAACTGCTGATTAATAAATACCAACTCCATTCTAGCACAGGATGGCTGTGACTGAAAGACATTCAGGCACCCCAGGGCTGTTCTGTAATACATATGCACTGAGTTAGTACCTGTAATCTAACTGCAGTGGCCATAGTGCCAAATAAAAGACTCGTTATCACACTGGGCACTGTTTGCCAAAGAGTAGAGCAGCAAAGGGGACTAGCCCTTAGCAAAGATATGCTGTGTTTGGAAGGTGGTTAGCCATTTGCAAGTGTGGAAGAATGGAGCAAAACCATCAGAAACATAACTGCAATTTGCTGATTTGTCATATGAGATGGCAGTATCCGCAAAGCCCGGCTGCTTTAATGCTGCTTATTTCGGGAACGATGGTCTGCAAGCCAACCGCACACTTACAGCCTTATCGGTCCCTCGAGGCCTTGTATACAACCCAGGCTCACCCAGCCGTGGTTTGCTTTCAGGAAACATGCTGAGGACCTCAGAAATTTATCCACCAAAAGTACACAGAGTACATTTTTCATCTCGGTGTGTGTACTCTTTTACAGCGTGCTCCACAGCAAGTGAATGTGAACTGCCCTTTTCTGACTCTTTTGCTCTCTTGTTTAAAATCAATTACTTCTCTGTCCTGGTTTCAGTCCCTTTGGAGGATGAGCTGGAGGCCACATTTCCCTCCTCCTCCTCCTCTTCTTTGTTAATTTTTAAGGTGGCAAATCAGTCCCCAGACAGTGCCCAACTGGGGCATCACTTGCCAAAAGGTTGCCATTCACAATTATAAGCTTCTGTTTGATTTTTTTCATGTCGATTCAACATCAGCCCATAGCAACCTCGACCCTCTCCAGCAACGCCTGACCTTCAACGTACTCCTTTGTGCTGCTCTGCACTGAAGTTCTCCTCAAAGTGTTCATAAATCACACGTACAGCTTTTTCCCACCAATGTGTGGGGTGTTACTACTCTGATAAAGTCATGCCAGATTTTTGGACGTTCTCTGACTCTTTAAAAATGTACTTTTGGAGAGGTAAAAAAATTGAAACAAATATATTTATGTCTGGTTACTAACCAGCAGGAGGCAAGTTCCCTGGGAAGCTTATTTTTGTTTCTGTTTTCACAGCTTTGAATTAAGTTTTCTTTGCATCTATAAACATTATCTTTCTCTGAGGTATGGAGTCCTGTCTTTTAGACAAGATGTTATGACAGAGCATAGACACTCCACATGCAGAAACACTGTGAAGTAACTCTTTGAACATATTGGTCTCACACTTAATGATGAAAAATGGCTTAAATCCCAGGCCTGCACACAATTATAGATCTGCTGAACTTTTCTACATGAGCAGTTCAACATTTTTGGTGTATGGTTATGCACGTGTACAAGTCTTTTAGCTATCGTCTTAAACAACTTAGTGGGAAACTGATACTCTCCCTTTCAGCAGCTTTGAGTCTTAATAAGTCCCCACAGCAAGACATGTTTAGCAGGAAATTTTTTGTCCTACTGGGGCTAGATTATGTGATTATTATTTTTTTTTAAGATAGCCTGCTTTCTGCGGCAGCTCAAGATTTTTTGTTTCAAGAGCTCTGCTCGCTAAAGATCTATTTGTGTAATTAAATGCATGCTCATAGTGGCATTGCGCCAGTTTGTTTGGGTGGTTTGTTTTGGCAACGTTAGCACCGCATGGGTGAAGCTTTGCTGAGGGACTTGGCCAGGGGATTCGATGGTGGTCCAGGTTAGTAGTGGGCTTAGGAAGGGGGTGGAGGCTGGAAGGGAATTATTCCCTCCAGTGCTCTGTCATCACATCAACATGATCATTTTGGTGTTAACTTTGTAGGTTAGAAGTACTTTTTTATTAATTCTCTCTTCATAAAAATACAAGCGCTTAAGCTGCCGCCAGCAGAAATATATCGACTGGGAATAATTGTGGTTTTTAGAAAGGATCTTGCAGGAAACTTAGAAATCATGAACTTTTTGATTCCATACACCAAAAGATTGGAGTTAAGGGAAAGGGGAATAATCTCTGTGGTCAGAAATGCAGCTGTTTGATTCGTACCTTAGAAGTCAAACCGGCACAATTAGTCGTGTTCTTCCATGAGAGGCAGTTGTCCAAAAAAGCACATAGGTGAGGGTGAACGCAGTCTAACCATGGGAGGCAGTGAAACTGGAAGAACTTGCCTTTTCAAAGAGGATTTGAAAATAGATGCAACTCTGAGCTCAGCCATAAAATTATTTTATTTCCTTTTCTCACCTTTGCAGTGGGATGCCTCACTGTTAGCAGGGAGATGGCAGAGTACACTGTAACGAGGCTTAGAATTGGTGACTTTCAACGATTGATTTGGTTTTGCTTGGACTCTTCTCCCAGGCCATTAGTGTCTATGTACTCTCTGCAGGGTTGGCCTGTGTGTGTCTGGAAGGTGATAGTTAAATTCTGCACTGTGCTCTCCTGAAGTCACTGGGGTTGCACAAATGCAGCTGAAAGAAGGGTTTGCCCCCCTTATTTGCAGGTCCTATCTCAATTTTATATTTCTGGAACTAAATCCCAAAAGAACCACATCCCCTACTATACCTCTGCTGTCCCTTTTTTCTCCATGACTCCACTGGCACGTGGACCCACAGAAAGGTTCCTGGAGGGTAATAGTTCTCCTTGTAACTGTGCAAGCGCCCATCCTCACCCTGCAATAAGCATCATGGAAATCGAAACAGCAAACCTTTTTCTGAAGGGGGGATAGGTTACCGCATGTTTATGGTGGTGTGCATACAGTTACCGCAGAGCAGCTGACGTTTGGTAACTCGTTTGCGTGTCCAAGCCCAAAGCGTCTGATGCCTACCCACGGTCTAACATATTGCAGGGAATGAACTACTTGGAGGAGCGTCGCCTGGTGCACCGTGACCTTGCTGCCAGGAACGTCCTCGTTAAGACTCCTCAACACGTGAAAATCACGGACTTTGGGCTGGCAAAGCTGCTCGGCGCTGATGAGAAGGAGTATCATGCTGAGGGAGGCAAGGTAAAGCGCATCGGAGAAATGAACTGCTGGGCATTCATCGGTGTTTGTGCTTGTGCATGAGCCTTAAACACAGGGAAAAACAAGGGAGTGGGTTTTTCAAAGCACTCAGCTGCCGTCTCAGCGTGCTGCCTTTGAAGCCTGTGGGGGTTCTCTGAAATCAGCTGAAGCAGCGTCAGACCAGTGGGACTGCAGTGGGAGCGGAGGTAGCAGAGCAGCGAATGCTTTTGAAATTCCCACCCAGAATGTCTGGGAAAAAGCAAGATTATTAAAAAAACATTAGGAAAAAAAAAAAAAAAAGCATGGCTGAATTCATCAGTGTAGCCAACACCAAGAACACTGTGCAGCTTATGAAGAGAAAGAGAATGCTGTATATTTATAGCAGAAGAAAGACCTGTCAGACTTGGTTCAACATGCCTTCATGTTGTACTACGTGCTGATGGAGGGAATGTGTCCTGCTGAGAAATTAAAGAGAAGCTGCTTGCAAATATTGCGGAGACCATAAATGGAAACCATATGAGTGCAGATCAGTCTTTGTCTTACAGCGTGAGATTGGATTTGTGTCCTGTTATGACAGGAGGTTAAAAAAATAGCAATTTGACTGTTAAAAACATTGTAAAACTAATCTGTAAGAGATATTGCTAATATGCCTAATATTTCATGAGTTCCAAGGTTCAACATAATAAATGAAAATAATAATAAGGGACTCAAAAGCTGCCTGCTCTACTACTCGGATATTTGTGTTGTTTGTTGCTTGGGGTTTTTTTTCCTTCCACGCCTAAACTATTGGTTTAAACACCACCTGGTGGTAAATACCGCTGATGAATTTTGAGCTAGCTTCTTAAGGCTTATTTGTGAATTTTCCTAGGTTCCTATTAAATGGATGGCCTTGGAGTCAATTTTACACCGGATTTACACTCATCAAAGTGATGTCTGGAGTTATGGTGAGTCTAAAACCAGTTATAATTATTGTAAATGGGTTGGAAAATTGCAAGATTTGCTAATGACTCTACACAGGTCTTTTTTCTTCCTATTATGAGAAGTTTGAGAGATTAAACATAAACAATGGCCCCTATTCAATAAAGTAAAATTCCCATGAAATTTCATGCTGGCGAGGTGTAAGATGTTTTGCAGAATACGCTTTCAGATGATGAGCCCTCCACTGAAAGGGGCTGCAGGTAGGAGACTGTTCCATTTGCTGAAGTTCTGCTGATGCTTTTCTTCAGCAGCTTCCCATGAAATATAACTGGGCTGACAATAAAGCCACATAACTAGAGGGAGGACTTAAAAGCATCGGCCATGCTGTCGGTCAGTGTCAATCAGTGTAACTCTGCCTACAATGTTTGTGTTGTCCCGGTATTGAGAGGACAATGCTAAAAGGGAAGCAAAGTGATAACTTCCTTAGAGAATTCATTTAATATTTGGTATAGTCCATAAGCCAGCTTGAAAGAAAGAGGAGCAAAAAGGAAACTTTCCAAAGCAACTTAACTCCAAAATTTTCACTCCACGGGCTCTTATATTCCTGGAAAATATTTAATGCAGATGGTCAGATCCTGTGTCCTTTTAGATAAAGTACAGCCTCTGGTCCTCTTAATCCATTTTACGTATCTTGGCATCCACAATCTTGTTTTGTATCCTAAGCTACCAGACAATCACAACAGCTACATCGCAAGAGTACATGGTATGTCAGCAAACGACACTGAGGCAGCTGGTTTACATATCTTTCAAAAACTGCTCTTGTTCGTCTCCAAAGAGATTGTTTTGAAACAAAAATACAGCTTCCATTTTTAAAAACCACTTGCTGGATTGGAGTCAGGAGGCGGGTAACCTGCATTTCCTTTCTGTGGGGCTGGGAAGTTTGTGGGATGTTCAACACTGAGACACTAGTTGAGATTCAAAAAAACCCAAAAATACCCCCCCCCCCCCCAAAAAAAAAAAAAACAACTCAAAAAGGAAATCAAGATTATTTCAACCTGTTTTGTTAATTTGCCTCTCTTCAAAATCATGACAGAAAATACTTCTCCTGTGCGGGGCTCTGGCAACGCAGTGCCCCTGGGAAAGCCCTCTCCGCTCACCCCAGCCTCTCCTCACCTCTGCACCCAGGCTAAGCGCCCTGGCTACCAGCAAGGCCTCTCTCATGGTCTTCTCTTCCCACCCTGCAGGTGTGACAGTTTGGGAGCTGATGACATTTGGGTCCAAGCCATACGACGGGATCCCTGCCAGTGAAATCTCCTCTGTCTTGGAGAAGGGCGAGCGTTTGCCCCAGCCCCCCATCTGTACCATCGATGTGTACATGATCATGGTCAAATGTGAGTTCATATTTGGGGTTGTGGGTGCTCACCTAAGTCAAATAAGTAGTGCAGTTGCCTTTGTTACGTCGCATTTGTATACAGTGTGTTCTTGGTGATCGTACAGAAATAGGGTTATGTGAAAAGAGTGGTGACACCAGAGCGTGTTCCTGCACCTTGAGCTTTAGTTAGGAGCACGGGATGTGGTTTCATTAGTTGCTAATTCAGCCAACTAATGTTTGTTCATCATTCACACCACGGGCTGATATTGTCAATTATTTTAAACTGATATTGTCAGGCAGTATAAATCAGCATAACACCACCCACTTTACCTGATACTCTGGTTTTGTATGTCTAGAAAATAAAATTAACACTGCCTTCTCCTCCAGGCTCCCTCTTAGTTCAGTAATAAGCCTCCCCCTGCAATCACACACATGGACTATGTGCTCCTTTTACTAAAGGAGGGTTGTGAGCACAGGCACCACCATAATGGCAGATGCACATGAGGATCTGGAGGTCCTCATCTGATTTCTTCGTCATTTTTGGATGGCCCATTTTCAGCACACATTGTTTCTGTAAAGTAGCACAGAAGGGGGGTGTGTGTGTCTCTGAAGGACTTTTTGGTCATTGTTAGGGCACATCAAAGGGCTTCTGAACCCCAACCCCCTTTTGCATCTCTATCAGCTGCTAAAATGTCAGATTATTACCTGGCTTCCCGTGCATCTCTGGACCATGACTGCCACATCCCTGCTTGCTACCAGTGGTGTCTGTGAGGATGGTGATAAGAAGCCCACTAGGTGGCATTTAAGACCTTCTCACTGGAGCAAAATGTACCTGTTCCTGAAACAGGAGCCACACTATGATGAACACCCTGTAGTGCAGCACTTTTGAAGAGTCCTGGAGTGCCTTGGTGTTGCTTTGTCAGGATGGGGACCTCACAGGGAGAGCCCAGTCCTGTGCTCACCACACCTGAGAGAGCAGGAACTGGATCCAGATGTGTGCACCTAGCCTGGGAGGTGCCCGGACCCAAAAGCAGTGTCCTGGAAACTCCTCCTTGGTGATGCTGAACCCCACTGACACCTCAGCCCTGCCAAAATCTCTGCTTGCAGCAGTCATGTCCCAGGTCTTTGAAAGCTCTGCACTAGAGCATGTCCTCAGGGGCTGAGCCTTCTCAAAGCTCAGCAGCTCCATCCACTGCCCTTCCTTGGGTCAGTCCAGATGTAGAAAGCAGGCATTTTTCCAGGCACCTAATCAGGCACCTGTAGCTTTTAAAACACCACCAGAGGCGTGTCCTGATCTCCTTTCATACCATTACACTGAATTTAAATGCAAGAGTATGAGGACCTGGGGTTTGAGCCTTCCTTCTGCCACAGGACTTAGTTGCTCATTTTTCACTGCTCTGATCACCCAGTGATTGCAGTCTACAGCACAGACCCTGTTGAAGCTGCACCATTTTGTCTAAAGGAATTCAGGATTCACAGTCATCTCTTATAAGCAGAGTATAAACTGAAATGTTCAAACTTATTGCACAACAATTTATATTTCTTTCTGTTTAAGAAGCAGTATTTAAACATACGCAACTCTGAAATAAATTCAGAAATAGTGGATGCTACTTCTCAAACCCCCAAATGCTGCACTCTGCCTAAAGGCAAAAAGGATTTCTTCTCGAATTAGCAGGGGATCATATTTCCAGCATGGTAAAAAGTCACTGGCAATGATGAGATTTTGTCTAATGCAGATCTCAGATGGCCTGTTATCACTTCATTTCTCCATTGCTATGGCTAGGCTGTTTCTTATGAGTTCCTCCAGACACACTAAGCTTGACCTTTATTATTTTTACTTTTAAACGCAAGAGTATCTACATCAGCTCATCTGTTAGTTGGTAACAGAAAGTGTGGGTTTCCTAAGTAATCTCACACGTTAAACCACCAGTATCTATATTCAATGTCTCTTCTAGCATTGGCGCACACTAAGCTGTAGGACTTGTTTTTGTTTTGTTAGTCTCTTTACTAATTAAATACAGCTTAGATATGGTTAATCTTTCAAAATGTCCCCAGTGAGGATGTTTTGAATTTCAGAAGACAACTGCTACAGAGGGTAGCTTCTGCTTTAGGCTTCCCAGGATTTCATGAAGCAGTGCAGTGAGGACTAGAGGGTCAAATCACCGAACGTCTGCAGGTGCCCGCTGAAGTTGGTTTGCTTCCTCTCCTTCAAGAGTTTTTCAGAGCAGCCTAATTTGGACCGATCCAGGCTGGACACCCGTTTGGTATCCTCAGGACAGATGCGTTATTATCACTCAAATGGGACCTGCCTGCCCAGGCGGAGATAGGCCAGCCTGGAGCTTTTCCAACATGGAGTTTTATTACCTCCTTCATTCTTCCCAAAGCTGCCAAGATGTGAATTTTCAATGCTGAAATTCACAGCAGTAGTTGGTGAATGAACTGTTTATGGTGGTCCCTTACGGGTAGATCCTTAACAGCATGTATAGTGCTGTTCTTTTCACGGCTACATTTTATTTTAAGCTCTGCATTTCATCACCAAAACAACTTTATTTGTGTGTTGCTTTCTCTGTCGTCCCTCCAGGCTGGATGATCGATGCAGACAGTCGTCCCAAGTTTCGCGAACTGATAGCGGAGTTCTCAAAAATGGCCCGTGACCCCCAACGCTATCTTGTTATACAGGTACTAAACCCAATGGTAGGAAGATGTCTAATGGGCATTTAATATGAGGCCCAAAATTATTAATAATGCATATGAAAACGTATGATATGGGTAATTTAAGGCCAGATTTACCATTGCTTTCCAGGTCTTAACACGTTCAGCTAGAACCACAAACAGAATTTCAAGACCGGTCACAGTTTTCTTAGTCCTGGTCCTAGTCTGGGACCAGTAACAGTCCATAATGCAGTCCTGAGAGGAGAACAGAGTTTGATCCTCTTAAAAACACAGATATTTTACAGCAGCATAGACAGAGGTTGCAGGCCCAAATTCCCCTGGAGTCTAGGTAAATTTGGTTAAACACACAGATCAAGATTTTACGTCTCAGACTTCTCGCTAAATTACTTTGTCTCTCAGAGAAGGGCATAATGAGGGCTTGAAGCGATTCTGCAAGTCCTCCCTCACACCGACTTGTCTCACAGGGAGACGATAGGATGCACCTGCCCAGCCCGACGGACTCCAAGTTTTATCGCACCCTGATGGAGGAGGAGGACATGGAAGATATAGTGGACGCAGATGAGTATCTCGTGCCACACCAGGGCTTCTTCAACAGCCCCTCCACATCCCGCACTCCTCTCTTGAGCTCATTGGTATGAAATTTCTCCTCTGTGAAAACATTGTAAGCAATTTTAAGAGTGAACTGCTTCTCAAAATGTCTGTATTTTCTTTCTCTCTATTTCTAAGAGTGCTACTAGCAACAATTCTGCTACAACCTGCATTGACAGAAACGGGGTAAGTGGGACGACCTTTAAAAAAGGAGCAACTTCTCCTATGTGGATCAACTTCTACAGAACATGTTGTCCCTTTAATACTGATCTTCTCTGCTTCAAACCTAGCAGGGGCACCCTGTGAGGGAAGACAGCTTTGTCCAGAGGTATAGCTCAGACCCAACGGGCGCTTTCTTGGAGGACAGCATAGACGACAGCTTCCTGCCAGCCCCAGGCAAGTACCGCTCCCGTGTTTCCATCCCACAGCCACTCATTCACAAGCCATTTGGTTGTGAATATAAACGTTGTCCTTCCTTTTCTGTAGAAAGGAAGCAATCCAAACGCTTCCTACCCGTTTTGCTTGGTAACTGGGAGTGAAAATGTGTGCACATAGTCTTTTCCTGCACTTTTTCTGGCTGCTTCTGGCCATTTCTCATTTCGGTTCCTTCACCAGCCAGGTCCCTCATGTTTGCTGTGTGTGCCATCTGGCCAGGGAGCTCGCATGCGTGGTTATATTTTTTAAGTTTTCTACCACCCCTGCACTTCAGAAAATATCCTCTAGAAACTGGGTTTCACCCCTTAAACTACTTCAGCAATATAAACAGCTTTCTGGCAGTTTCACTGCTTTCAGATGTTGATACACAGAAGGCAGCTCATGGTTTCACGTGGACTTAGAGCGTAGGCGGTCGGAGAGTGAGCCAGGGAGCACCGAGGGAGTTGGTGCTGGGTTATGCAGCCGTGATGCTCTGTGTCCTTAAAAAAACCCAACCAACCCTTCCAAGAATACACCACAGCTAAAAAGGGTGAAAGACCCTGCAAGGGATGGCATTTAAGTGAGGTGTGGAGTCTCTGTTTCTGCCACTCCTGTATTTTCTAGGCACTTTTCTCATCTCTAAACATTTTTCCAGGGAAACAGCTTCTGGCAGCAAAGCCTCCCTGACTGCAATTTCACAACAGTATCTAGGACACAGCCACCCCCATGTCACTAAAATCAGCAGTAGCTATCTCACTGTCTTATGATCCAAGCCGTCTTTCTGCTGCTTTGCAAATGAAATTCCTGAAGGTGAATTGCAGGGCAGCACGTTTGGTGCCACGGCACAGCAGTCCCTGCCTTTGGCTCTCTTCCGCTCCAGGAAGTTCAGTGAGATGCTGTGCGTGAAGAGCAAGTGGCAGCTGGGTTGAAACTACACCTCAAGTGACGGAAATGGCTGCATTAGTTACATGTCTTCATTTTCATTTCTCCTTATTTTTATTTTCTTTTTATTCCAGAGTATGTAAACCAGTTGGTGCCCAAGAAAGTATCTGCCTCAGCAGTCCAGAATCCAATCTACAACAACTTTTCACTCACAGCAAACTCAAAGGTCCCCACAGACTCCAGCTACCAGAATTCACACAGCACAGCTGTGGACAACCCCGAGTATCTCAACACCAACCAATCTCCGCTGGCCAAGACAGTCTTTGAGAGCTCTCCTTACTGGATCCAGGCGGGCAACCATCAAATAAATCTAGACAATCCTGACTACCAGCAGGACTTCTTACCGAAGGAAACCAAACCTAATGGTCTCTTGAAAGTTCCTGCGGCAGAGAACCCAGAGTACTTGAGGGTAGCAGCACCAAAAAGTGAATACATTGAAGCCTCAGCATGACCACAGAGAACATCTTCTTGCAGCAAGGCAAGCCAGACTCTTGGTGAATCACCTGGCTGCTGCAAGAACGGACTTTTGCTCGTAGCGAATGATGACCGCAATGCATCAATAAGCACACCTTTCCTTTTCAGCACAGGGTCTGAAACTGCGAACCCTATCTGATGGTAGTTTGGGTCTTTTCTTGCCCATTTCCACATAATAACTGAGGCCCATAGCCTGCACTCGGATGCATGTTGGGATGGAGCAGGATCTTCCTGGACAGAAGAAATATGGATGCATTCCTTTCATTTTCAAACGGTAGCATGGTAAGAAGCCACTCTGGGATGAACTTGAGAGCTGTACACATTGTACAGTCAAATTCCTTTCTACAGTCTATATTTTTATAAATGTTGCTAGCAGAATTTTTGAATCTTTTACAAGATCAGATGTTTGTACTGCTGGTCTGCTATGTGGTGCTCAGATAACCAGCAGGAAAAAAAAATAATGTTACTAAATAGTTTTCCAAAACTCCTGGAACAGAAACAGTTATTCCAAACCTCCGGATTTTTACCAGTTGGCTCCATATACTGCTTCTTGGCAGAAAGAGGAGAAGTGCATCTGGGGGACATATGGGAGATTCTGCCCAGGGCAGTATGGAGTGGATCACTCTGGGGAAGACTAGCACAAGGAGCAAAATGGCACGACACATCACCTACTGACCACTACTGCTAAAAACTGACAGGAGTAACTCAGCTCAAAGTCATCTGTACATGGTTATAAAGTGCTCGCTAGTCTGCTTTCTGATGGTCAAACGCAAGACATTTTTTTTCTGATCTCTTATGCAGCTGTCGAGTTGTCAAAATGCCTTTCTTCTTCAACAAAACTGTTAAAGATGTTGCCGTAACTGAAAAATGAAGTGTCAAATAATGTTTAACAGACTTTAATGAAATGTCAAGGAAATGCAAATAGTGGCAAATTGGAGCATTCACGAGACAGACTGGAAGAACTGTACTAAATTAAACTTGACTAGGGCAAGAAACTCAGGTAGCTCTAGCCCAGCAGTTCTAGTTCCCTTCTTAAAGGGGCTCAGAGCAGAAATCATTTTATATTTATATTTTATACCCCAAGAAAAGGGGTATATCAGTGTTACTCTTTACTCGCTTCAAGGCAGAATACTTCCAATTGCTGTACCATGCTGGGGCAGAGGCTGGGGCTGGTTGCCTGTCCCTTTGGGGTTACGTATCCTGGCAATGCAGGAGGGGCAGTGAGAATGAATTAAGGAAAGGAAGAATAATCTGGAGTGATGGAAAATATTATCCCCCTCTTCTGAAAGACAGGGCTGCCTAGTGCTTCTTTAAACTACCCAGCATCTTCTTCTGTTACCAGTGTGGAATAGGCAGACTAGGCAAAGCTAGGATTTTAGCTTCATAGTGTAAATTAATCACAGCAGCAAAAGCAGCTACTCTTTCCAGAGGCCTGTGATACAAGACCTCAGATTCTTCCATCATTAACATTTCTTATGAAGGTAGGAGGAGTAAAATGCCTAAAGTGTGAATTTAGTAATTTAGGCACATCCCACCAACAGCTTGCAGTACTATTTTAATCAGACCACTACATCGGAAAACAAATGCACATTTGATGATTTTGGTAAAAAGGCCCTTAACTAGCTGAACATTGGCAACTGGCTTGAGGGCAGCACAAGCAGCTGAGTTGCAGAGGATATGTAGTCTATATTAAGTAGCAAGAAAGAGTCAAATTTATGCCACCACTGTGTTTTGAATATATCAGTATGTGTTTCTGTTTAAGTACTGCATCTGGAGCGCAGGATCAAGCAGCAAACCCTCAGAACATAGTTTTTACAGATTTATTGAGGAACGAAGAAGAACGGTCATGTGAAATGACCCCTTTTATAAGTAGCGTGGTGTAAAATGCATTAGAAGCTTGTGTGTGTGCAGTAGTTCACTTGCCACGCTGCAGTCTAGGGTAGAGCAGTATATTGGGTCAAAATCCAAAGATTTCCCTGTTTGGTACATCTGTGTCACCGTTACCAAGTCCCAGGCACAGTGGTGTGGAGGATGCAGTGTTTGACTTTGATTATTACTGGCTTGTATTTAAAATGCTAACCACAATTCAGTTCCCACGTCCAATTAGTGGCAGATTTCTCCTTGCATTCCTGAGAGCAGATTTGTTGTATTGCTCTCACAAGCGTGCGATGTGTACACACAGGCAGCGCTGCCTTTCTCCACCCACCGCCCCGGGAGGAATGCACATAAAGCCAAAAAAAGATCTTAACAGAAATCACAGATAATTTTCAATTTGCTAAATCTGTTATGTCTCCAAGCAGAACACCAGAAAATCACATAGTACACGTCCTCCTGCAGAATCTTTCCAACACTATTGCACAAAAGAATTTATTGATGTTTTGTTTTAATCTGTTAGCTAAAACAAGAGAGTGACTAAGAAGTAGCAATATGTATCACCAGCATTATGTAGCATGAACATTATTTAATAGAGGTTAATATCCTTCCCCTTAAAAATTTAGGAGGGATTCAGTAGTGACTCATTGCTGGAAACAGGGAGATTCATCTAAAAATTAAGCAATGTAAGTTTGAAAGCATAACTTTTTGAATGTATGTTTTTTGATGAGAAAAGTAGGAAAGATGATGTAGGACCACAAACCCTCAATACAAATGTACAGTTTCCAGCTTGGTGGGATCAGCTGTATTGTAAAGTAGTCGTGGTAAACAGCATCCTCTAAGTCATGACTTGTACATGGGCAGCTCAGCAATGATCCAAAAGCCAACAAAAAATAAGAACCGGGCAGTGTGCCATAGCCTGTGGGCAGTGCCTGCAAGGGCAGATATGGTGGCAGTGGGTGCGGATGGGACTGCGCAGCTCCGTGGCTGTCATTGGAGGCATGGGTGCTACACGGGGTGATGCTCGTAGGGTAACAAGCATTAGCAATGTAACAAATGATTTCCACTGAGATAAAAAAAAAATTAATAAGCAGCTGAAATGGTCTGGTTTTTCCACTGCAGCTCACTGACCATCTAACAGGAAGGAGCCCCGTGCAGATCATAGGTGCTCATAAAGGCAAGCATAGTTAGGCAGCATCTCATGCGACCTTGCTGATGCAGTGTTGCATGGAGTTTAGGCCACTGAATGGGACACAAAAGTTGTGTTTTTACAAATGTTAGAAAAAAAAAATAGACTGCATCTTGAGAGCATACGTAAATCAGCATCCAAAAATAACTTGAAAGTTCTGACATAGTCTCTCAGGATGTGTGGGTAGAAAATGCTGATTTTTAAAACGCAACTGCATAGAGAAATGTAGCAGGCCACAACTGCTTTTAAAAGCTAACAGAGTCTTACCAATCAAGAAAACAAAAAATTCCCTTTTTGCTGTATTTCTCATGGAAGGAAAAATAAAACAACTCACAAGTTAGTGCTTAGCGTCTCTTAATCATAAGGCAGCAGTTAATATGGAACTGCTTTTGCAATAATAATTTAAGACCTTTAATAACTGCTAAGTATATGAAAATGTAAGTTACATTAAGAGTCTTCATCTTACTTTGATGTTTTTCAGTGATCTGTGTACAGTGTCAGTGCACTTGACTTCGTTTGGGCCTTGGGTTGTTTTTTTCTGCCTCAAAGGGAGTTGGCATGGGAAATTTCCTTCATGTTGCAGTTGGTCTTCTCAGGGAAATTCATCTGAGAGGCCGGGGGCTTGCTGTCGTTTCCGGCTGGCAGGCAACAATGCAGTGAGTTTTCTAGAGAGAGCAGCTGGAAATAGATGGTGGCTTCTGAAATGCCACAGGGTGACACCCTGTCCCACCAGCATCACCGTCAGATGGCCATGTGAAGCCCCAGGGTTAGAAAATACAGTCCTATGATTTATTTGAAAGGAGGGGGCTCGTGTGGGGAGAGTAATGCAAGGGAAGTGGTGCTGCCGGCCAATCCATACCTGATGCCAAATTTGCCCAGGGACATCACTGAGGCCATCGACTGTTCCTGCAGGTACAGATGGGAATAGACACATGGCTCCAGCCCCTGCTACTGGCTTGAAGCAAAGCCCTCTTGCAGAGATTGTTTGTGCAAGGGCTAAAACAACATCACAGGACCCTAAAGAGCTTGAAGAGGTCCCATCACAAGGTGCCTGGGGTGTCCTCAGTCTGTCTGGGGGTGCTCTAGGGTGCCAAGGAGAAACTTTGCATTTCCAGACAAGCGCTCATTTTTCAGATTCAGAGTTCAACATCTTCTGTTAGTATGACCACTGCCTCTCCAAATGAGTAGTTAAGGTACTCTGACTTTTGTTTCCTCCCACATTTCTCTGTGAGAAAACATCTGAATCAGGATAAAGTATGAAAATGTACCTGTGTCCTCCTTCCTGATGGAAACTGTATACTCATGAAATGTCAGACTCTGTGTATAACACTTAGCAAGAACGCTTTGTAATGTTTTATCACCACTGGTTCAAATTTTTATATTGGAATCCCATTTTCTAGCTTTCTTTTTTTGTAAATGTTATCTCTTTGTTCTTACATACAACTTTTAAGGAGCCTTTTTAAAATAATAAAAAAAAAAAGAGAAAAAAAGTTTATACAAAAGAAAAACGTGGCACCTTCAAGTAGGTTGTCAAATGGGCTGCATTAGGACCAAAGATGTAACGTCTTGTTTTCTTGCTTTAAAGGAATAGGGTATTCATCACCTCTTCCACAGCCTCTCATTACAGGGAAAAGGTACAGATCTCCACTCTTCATTGGGGCTGGGCCAGACCTCCACTGAGCCAAGAGGACTTGACAGGAGGGGTGAGGCCTGTCCATAGAAAACCAAACCAAAATCAGGACCAGGTATCACTTCAGGGCCAGACCTACAACCTCTACTCCATTTCGATTCATTTTCTACTCAACACAATAGCTAAACAGGGACACAGTCAAGAAAAAAGAAACAAATACATGAAGTTTTGGCTCAATATCAGGAAAAAATACAATGATGTGAAGATGAGACCTGATGAGATAATT